ACAAATTTGTCTGAACGAGCTTTGCTTACCTAAAGATATAAGTTTATGCCCTCATGAAAATATTTCATATTTCATTGATTATCACTATTCAAATACTAATAACGATCCCCATTTCATGGATCATCCCTTTTCTTATGAAGAACTCGATACTGCCTTACACTCAGCTAATACTAAATCAGCCCCTGGAACAGATAAAATTAGTTACGAACTTCTAATACTCCTACCGGAATTTTACAAAAGACTCTTACTAGACACATTTAACGACTTTTTCAATCAAGGTATTTTTCCAGAGAATTGGTCTAAATATCTTATAACCTTCCTTCCTAAAAACAATAGTGATAAAGTACGGCCGGTTTCAATGGCTTCTTGCATTCTCAAAACATTCGAAAAAATTATCAACAATCGCCTGATTTTCTGGCTAGATAACAATATTTTCTCCTCTTCGTAATTTAGATTCCGTAAAAAGAAATCTTGTGCCGACAACCTCTCCATTTTAACGACCCATATTCACAGGACATTCTTTGAAAAAAAATGCCTAGCGGCCTTCTTTCTGGATATTAAAGGCGCCTTTAATGAGGTGATACCCGACATACTCATCAATGATTTGATTAATTTGGGATTGCCCAAAAAATTCGTGGTATTCATCAAATTCCTCATTTTTGAAAGAGTTCTCATTCCATTAAACACCAATGACTGCATTTCGTATCTGGTAAATAAAGGTCTCTCTCAAGGAAGTGTTCTTAACCCTATACTTGATACAATTTATACAAGACAATTGAAATCACTTCTTCAACCAGACATCGAAATCTTGGAGTTTGCAGATAACGTAATCTTCTTTACTCAATGCGACAAGCCAGTTCAGGGTGCTGAAAAATTAAAAAACACTATAGATACAGCTATGCCCTTTCTCAAGGGCAGAGGCTTAGAACTTGCCCTTCAAAAATGTTATCTAATGTTCTTCAATAAAAACAATATAGACACTAATTGCATTTCTTTGAATATAGAAAATGAAATCATCTTACCATCTAAAGAAGTAAAATTTTTAGAAATGATTTTAGACCATAGGCTTAACGGTCGAAACACATATCTTATTTAGTCAGGAAAAGTATCTTATCCACTAGGATCATCAGTTGTTTAAGAAGAACTTGGTGAGGAGCGGACCCGAGTACCTTAGTCCTTCTTTATCAATCCCTAGTAAGATCTAGACTAGAGTATTGTGGATTTCTTATCTCCCCTTGCGCAGAATCACACCTCGAAAAACTTCAAAGAATACAATATTCAGCTCTAAGACTTGCTCTAGGATATGAGAAAAGCACACCTCTTAACATAATTGCAGCCGAATCAAAGCTGCCACACCTCTCATATAGATTCAAATTTCTCGGGATTAAATATTTACTTAAATAGGAAATTTTACTATAAAAAATATTGAAAAAATCATTCAGCAGTCCGAAAATTATCTGCTCGACTTCAACTATGAAAAATCCTTACTAGTCAAATGTTACGAAAATTTAAGATGGTACACTGATCAGATCATAAAATCTGATATCTTCTTCAAGCTTACTTAACCCTGAGAGAGCTTTTACGGAGATTTTGATATAGATTTGAAGTCAGGCAAAGAAATATTAAGATCCGCCGATCATTCCAAAACTTTCAAAGAACTTTTCGAACCCGATCACGAAGTAATAGACATTTATACAGATGGATCAAAAATAACTTCTAACAATAAAGACCATGTTGGTCTTGCCGCGTGGAGTCCGATACCTCAATTTAATTTCTCTTTCAAAATCCCGGACATAGCCTCGATTTTCACCGCAGAAGCTCTAGCATTATCTATTTGTTTAGATAAAATTATCTCGGAGGAAAACTGCGATTTTAGAATTTTGAAGAATGAGAATATTAATTTTTTTAGAATGTAGAAAAGAACTTAAAAAATAAACCAAAACCGAACCTACCTCACTAGTTCCTATTCTCAAAGAGATGAATGTAAACATTATTGATGTTCTATCAGATTTTATTCTAAAAATAGATATAAATATTTAAAAGTCTTCCAGGTGTTTTAAGGATAGAGAAAAAATGTTTAATCACCAAATCTATTAGATGTAGTATATAATTATATAAGTTTTAAGCTATGCAAGTTATCAACTAACCAAAGGTCGACCTGCCAAGTTACTTATATTTTTGTAATTTAATATTACACTAAATATTAAATTATTTATTATTTTATATATATAAAATTTTACCATTTTATATATATATATATATATATATATATATATAACCTATAATTTCATATAACTATTCTTAGTATCAATTATAATCTCCTGTTAGAGTTTTCCATTATGTAAGCATTCTGTAGTATTAGAAATATCATGTATTCGAACGCTGTGTTTCATCTCATCCTCACCGGCGCCACTGTGGTGGTGGCGTGGCTCTATACTGCACACAGTTCATGCCAATAAAAATACTAAAAATTGAAATTGAATTGGGGGACTTAAGCTGGAGAATTCTTAAACATTGCGCTTCGTCTCCTGTATGTAGTCTCCATGGTGTAGATCATCATCATTATTAGTGTCATCATGTCCTCACAAAATTCTAACCTACGATCGAAATCAGATTCATTCAATCCATTCTCAAAAAGACGAGATCTCATTCGAAAAACTCAATTTGATCTTTAAATGACCTTGAAGGTTAAGCCCAAATTTAAGACCAAATTCAAGGTCACCATTGAATAGCCAGGAAATAATTCTATCACTTTTTTATGAAACATTTTTTCTGAAAACACCAGTTAAACATTAATGCTCTTTTAAGAATTCTTGGATGCCAAAGACATTTGACCTTCAAATGACCTTTAGATCATATTTTATCACCTATGTATTTTATACTATTGAAAAGGGAATTATTGGCTTTTTTAATTTTTGCAATATAAATGGCGGTATCCATTTAAAAAGCTGAACTTGACCTTCAAACGACCTTGAATGTCTAGCCCAGGGTCAAATTCAAGATCACCATTGAATAACCAAGGAAAAATGTTATCACTTTTGTATGAAACATTTTTTCCATAAAGGTGTTCTTGCCGAGTTAATTATTAAAAATCAAACTTACTTAGTTGATCATCATGATCTCTTTTGTGATATGTATAACATTGTGATTAGCATGATTTCCTAGCAATGCCCGTGTATATCTAATTTTAACTTTGATATTTCAATAATATGATAAAACATGTATTTATCAATAAAATGTTTTTTTTTCTTACCATTTAAGTTTAAAATTTTACCATTTTATATAAATACATAAGACTAAAACTTGTCATTAGTTTTACTGTTTTTTATTATCATAACAAATACTTGTTAGAAAAAAAAATAAAATTATTGTATTGACTTGCTGTTAATTTGACATAATTTTATACTAATATTAGACTATATCACTACAGTATATTTATTTAGAAAATATTGAATTATTTACAATTAAATTACTCTATAACTAAATCTTCAAGTAGTTTGCATCGTCATTACTGTTTTCAATACCAATATTAACTATGAATATTTTTGTCCCACATGAGATCCTATGCAGGAATTTCTATTCAATTGTAACCTGGGATCATATGTGGTTTCCCACGTGAAATTTTATATAGCTTTTTAATTTAGGATTCTACATGGGTATTTTCTAACCACATGAGTTGATTTATTTTTTAACTGAATTTTGAATATTTCAACATTTTGATTGTACATTTCTTATTATTCTATTCATTTTTATAAATCATAGTCAGGTAATTACATCATGCTATCACAGTCAATTGTTAAGTTTCTTTTTTATAAAATATCATCTAAACTATATTTAATTTATTTTGATTCTAATCATGTCAAATATATTTATTTTATTTTTGCAATGTAAAAAATTGTCTTCTTAATCCTGTTATTATTACAACATAACATTAAGAGTAACATAGATGTACACCCAGTTGAAAATACATATTGAATAGTTTAAGTAGAATGTTGTTATTGGTAATAGTTATTTAAAACATAATATACAAAAAGCAAAAGTTGAGGGTTAACACTTTGCAATTGACTATGTTTTAATAATCAAAGAAAATAATTGTACATATTGTCTATATTTCAATAACTTTAGAAAAGACTACATTATCAATAAGAGTAAAAATACACGATCGGATGGTTAAAATTAATTCAGACCAACCAACCATGCAATTTTACTTATTACTTAAGATGTAATGTTATGAAAAATTATTAATATGTAGTTATATTTAAAGTTATTTCCTGAGGTGGTTAAGCATTGATTATCAAAACAATAAAAATTGTAAATTAGTTATGTAAATAAATATAAATTTGTAACATAAACTAGTTTACAAAATATAGACTATTGATCAAAATTACATGAAAACTAAGATTAACTAACTTATGATTCTTAGGTCAAATACTGTAAAAATAATTTTTTCTTAACATTTATCTTATTAAAATAATTCATAGATTTTCAACCAAAACTGGAATTGTATAAGTTTTAATATTAAAGTTGCTATATCTATAATAATATTTGTCAATACAAAATAAAAAATTTAATTCAAGACTGTTAACTAAATATTTTCCATGTTAGTATTCAGAGTTCAGAGTATAAATACATGTTGTTAAGATATTTTTGAAAGTATATTTGGACCAATTCTACTGTTTCGTGAAAAAAATAATGTTTGGTTTGAATAAATTATAATTCTAACATTATATAATAAAACTATGATTTAGGATATAGAATACTTATATCAAGAAGAAAAAAAGTTAAAATACAATTTTATCAAATTTGTTGACAATTTTATAAACAGTTGACTGAAGATGATGATTAACTAAAATATATTTTAAAAAAGCAATAATATTTGATAATATAACAAATGAAAATATTAAAATAAAATGTGCATTATGTAACTTATTTTTCAAATATCATGATAATCCTTTATGGATAAATTGTTCAAAATATTTAAGGTACAAAACAACACTTACAAGCGTAAACAATAACATTTTCGACTTATGAAGAGACTTTTTTAATGCTACCGTTTTCGTTGTCATTTTTATCATTGGAGATAGAACGATTTCGTATTAATAAAAAATCGGAATTCTTAATAAATCCTTGCTAAGAAATATATATTGAGACAAAAGTTATATTGTTCAAATATGATTAATAATAAATCACGTAAATGATCAGTATTGAAAGAAACTAAAATTTTGTTGCCATAGCAACTATTAATTAAAATAAAAATAATTACAAAAATTTTATCAACTAGATTGTTTCTGAATGCTCTCTACTGTTAGACTTTTATAACAACTTCTAGAAGCGCATGCGTACACTCTATACGTGAAAATGTCTGTGTTGCTCATATGTTGACACCAGGGAGTAAAAGAGAAGGAGACCCCACTCTACGGCCGACCAACAAAAATCTAGGACGTTTGCACCGGCAAAGATCGCCAGGCTCGCTCGTCGGAATAACTGACACTAGCTAGGGTCAGACCCCTCTAGCGAGCGCTATTCGTACTGCATAGCAGGTTGATTTTATCTACCGTTCACTGTCAACTGACATGCAACAACGTATATGAAATTATGCTTCAAAACTGTGCTTAATTATGATGACGATATGATTTGAGTTGACATAAATGATAAATTAGCTATCAAACCCCAAATACTATAACTATAAACTTAATCACAAGCCCCTCTCGGCAACTTAAGGAGGGTCAATCGTCGGCCATGATATTTCCCAAATTGTATTGTTTTTGACCAAACTTGAATATAATATTATTTAAGTACTCATCTTTGTGTCGGTATCATAAAATTATGAGGTAAACGATGTAAATAGAAAGTTATCGTGCCACAAAAAGAAATTCTTATACATATGGGTATATGGGGAAAGTTATATTTCATACCCTTAATTGACGATAACTTTATAATTATTGAATAGTTTTCAAGAAATAACTAATAAGTAGTAAACTATTTTATGAGGATTAAGGTAGTAAAGAAAAAAAGGGGGGTAAATGATTGAAATAAAGAGAAAATATACTTTGAAACAACACATATTTAGTTAAAAACAAAGCGACCGAATCAGCTGATCCTTTCTACGCAAAGCGTTATAGAACTGGCAACGTTGTAGAGTGTACACGTGCAGGTATTCAAACGCGCAAATCATCATGAGCAAATTTTTGATAAGAGTTTTGAGAACATTTCATAGCGTAGGTTAATTAAATAAATTGCAACACATTTATCATTTAAATATCATTATTATATAAAGTTATATTAGTAATACTAATTTTCGAATAATAACTTTTCATTTATAGTATGTAATGAGTAATAACACGTACGAGGTGTGATCAAAAAGTAAGGTGAATTTTGAAATTTAGCGGGCTACGTCCGTTCGATCTTCGACTTTTTTATTTGGTTATGTTGGTACACTCGTCTAGAACATACGTTCCAAATTTCAGCTTTGTAGTATGTTTGGTTTGTTTGTGAGAGGCATCAAGGTTAGAAGTGTTTTCCGTGCTCCACGATTTGCTGCTGTCTAAAAACATGGATCAAAGAGTTTGCATTAAATTTTGTGTGAAAAATGGAATCAAATGTTCCAAAACACTTGAAATGCTGAAAGTGGCATACGGTGAGTCTACTTTAAGCCAAAAAAATGTTTACAAGTGGTATAAACTCTTCCAAGAAGGCCGAGAAGACACCGACGACGAACCTCGTTCTGGACGCCCCAGCACATCAACAACTGATAAGAATGTTGAAGAAGTGAAGAAAATAGTGTTGGGAAATCGTCGAATTACCATTAGAGAAATTGCTGATGATATTGGCATCTCATTTGGTTCGTGCCAATCAATTTTGACGAGTGTTTTAGACATGAGACGTGTGTCAGCAAAGTTTGTTCCGAAATTGCTCAATTTCGACCAAAAGAAACGTCGCATGAGCATCGCCCAAGAGCTACTGAATGACGTCAACGATGATCCAGATTTACTCAACAGGGTTATAACAGGTGACGAAACATGGGTATACGGTTATGACGTCGAGACTAAGACTCAATCGTCCCAGTGGAGGCATTCTGGATCACCAAGACCAAAAAAAGCACGCCAAGTTCGATCAAATGTAAAGGTTTTGCTTACAGTTTTCTTTGACTGCAGGGGCGTGGTGCATCATGAGTTCTTGCCACAGGGTAGAACAGTAAATAAGGAATATTACCTGCAAGTTATGCGCAATTTGCGCGAAGCAATCCGCCAGAAACGTCCGAATTTGTGGAAAAATAAAAATTGGCTTTTGCACCATGATAACGCCCCTGCTCACACATCGTTGCTTGTGCGCGAATTTTGGGCTAAAACCAACACAGTAACGATGCCACAGGCACCGTATTCCCCAGATCTGGCCCCCTGTAACTTCTTCTTGTTCCCAAAACTGAAGAGGCCCATGAAAGGACGGCGTTTTGCCACGATTGAGGAGATAAAGACGGCATCGAAGGATGAACTAAACAAGATCACAAAAAATGATTTTTTGAAATGCTTTGAGGATTGGAAAAAGCGTTGGCACAAGCGCATTATGTATATCCGAGGGGGATTACTTTGAAGGAGATAAAATAAAAATTGATGAATAAATAAATATTTTTTGAGAAAAATAAAAATTCACCTTACTTTTTGATCACACCTCGTATTATAGAAGTAATCTCTTAAAGTTAACAAATAAATTGCCATAGTAAGAACATTAAAACATAGATAATTTACTAAATTATAGTAGCAATTTAAATAAAATCACATTTTCTTATATAAATTGTCGAATGCTGCGAAAATACTTTAATCTGACTTGATTCTCGAATTAAAAATTGACTTGATAATCTTCTTGTTATTAGTAACACGTGGTTTACCGTTTACACATTCAGCTAACAAAATAGTCAATTCCTCAATACTATTTGCGCAAGCTTTTTCGAGTATTGTTCTATCGATGCTAGCTTTTACAATTTTGCTTTTCATATTTATTGAACAATTAATATCTTTCAAAGTATTTTTCATTTCACTTTCTTTTTTCGATCTTTCTTTGGTCGCATTTTTGGCAGTAATAAGAGTCTCATAATCTCGTGTATGACTAATAATAGTTGAAGTATCATTGTACAAACATGTTATTAACTTTCTCAGCATTATCACATCATTAAGAGCATTATGCGCAGTGACAATATCTTCTTTATTTAAATAATCTTTGGCCAGTGCCGATTGATTAAAACTAATCTTGTCTTTTTTTCTCTTTGGTAATAATGATTTGAACATATACAGCGTATCGCAAAATCCCTTGACAAAACAGAAACTGTGTCAATAATCCTAAAGATTCAGCTAATTTGACAATTCTAGGCGCATCAAATCTAAAAAAAAAGAAAAAAAATGGTGAAGAAAAAGAAAATTATTTATAATGGAAATCTTAATTTTTACAGTTATACCTGAAACCATTGTGACTGATCAAAATGCATGGCTTTTTACGTTCTTTTAAAAAGTACAAGAATTTCAGAAATCTTTCACGGGCAGAAACAGTGGTAACTTTTACTTTGTTAACGAACATTTCCTGATTTTCTATAGTAATACCATTAACTTCAGATGCCTTCTCAGAAATACTTCTATTTGGCATAATGTATACCTCAACCTGTGAATTATTTCATTGTTTATAAAAATCAGGTTTACGTTTCGAATATGTTCTAAGCATGCACTGAATATTTACATAATGCGAACGTTAAAATTTGAAAAATGAAAAAGTAAAATGAACATTTTCTGTCGATAAAGTACAATATTTTTCCATTTACATACTAAATCATAAAATACTATTGAATCAGCTACATTATCTCATATCAAAGCACTCTCAATGCACACTGAAACACATTTATAAGAATTTAATCTTTCATGTCACTCTCAATTATACACTATAGAATATATTCATTTTATACTACATTATGTGGTCAAATTCCAAGCTTAACGTTCAATTACTATTGTATCATGGAATACTCATAATTAATTTTACTTTTGTTCCTTGGCTTCTAAAGTTAATCGTCTCTCTTCCTTGATAGCATCAATACAACTCAAATGTGCGACTTCATGTATAGTTTTACCCACACAGCTCTAATATTAATTTATGTACAACGCCTAGAAGTGGCAACCGCAGCAGACAATAGAGTACGAGGTAAGAGAGAGAGAGAGAATACATAATATGCAACGCGAACTAGCGAGAAGAAGGATAAGCTCGTGCAGGTCCAAACCGAAGGTGTGCTGATGTGTGAGAGACAGACGGTCGCGCGATAGGAACCGACTTAGGTTCGACAGAAAAAGGGAGAGAGAGTGGGGAGCTCTGTCGATTGCGTCCGAAAGCACACGTGCTCCCGCCGGCCGGCTTTTGCAGTGAAGATCGACTACTACTTTTTTTATTTAAACTCCCAGTTTGGCCTTGCGGCAGTTAGAAGGAGAAACTTCCCATTGCAATTGGTGTATAGAGAGTGCTGTGTGAGAGTGTGTGGGAGTAAACAAGTGCGAGTTTGCTGTTTGTTCCACTGTATTCGAGCGTATGATAAGGCTCATCCGTGGTCCAGTCCGCCTATGTAAGTACCTTCTTGCGTACCTTGTTTCTCTCTCGCTAGCTAGTTATTCTCTCTCTCTCTCTTTATCGCTGCGCTGCCTTCTATGTAAACCCACATGCTATATAAATACCGTTTATCTTATATATTCCTTCCTCTTATTTACACCCAACTCTACAACCATCCACGCTTCCCCGTCGACGAATTAACTCGAAGACTAGCTGCTGAATCCACGACGCTCCCGCGGGCCTTAAGGCGTAACTAAGCATCCGGGCATAGTCTCGTGCGGTTATCGTACGCCCACAACAAACTGCATAATATATTCATCGTTCTCTCGCGAAATAACGCGGGCAAGTAACCACCCCGTTATATTGGCGCCCAACCGACAGTGGCATTCGAAGTAGCTTTTCCTCTTCTTTCTTCGTGCGAGAGACACAACGCTGCGTGTTTACGAAAACGATAGAGTATCAGTGCGTGTACAATAGCGACTCAGCGACTCAGGTTGCGCAGCGAATGTAAACACAGTGTGATATTTACACGGCAGCCTTGAAATTGCTATAAGCCTCGCTAGTCGAGCAATTTCAAACTATTTCAATATTGGAATATAATATATTTTTCAAGGCTACGCCGTTTAAGAAATATCACACGATTATACATAAGAATATGTGTATGTATACATAGGACACGGCGAAAAGTGTGTTGTGGTATGTGAATTCGACGAAACGTGGACCTTCGTTCGCCTATAAACTAACAAGCTAATCAAATCAAAACGATAATAT